GTTTCGAGTGCATGGAATTAAGGGAGTAGTTGAACTGTTCCCGTCTTTATAGTAAAGAGGGGTGCATCTTCAAGAAAGATAAAACAAAGGGGACACTATTTCTTGTGAGATTTAAGTAATCCGCAAGGTTCGAATGTTATGCACTTCCCCCTCTCTCAAAGGAACTTCTCCTTGTCTTTCATTATTTGTTATTCTACTTTCACAAAAGTCTGCTACTGATCTAGGTGAAGGTGGTTCAGGTTGATTCACAGACCCATAAGATTTTGCCAACAAATTTTGATAGTGAGTAGCTCAGACATAAAAATAATTAAAACACAGTAAAACAAATATTTATACAAAAAGATAGGTCTTTTTAACTTTTACCTTAAAAACACTTTTTATTTCCCTGGCAACGGCACTAAAAACTTGGCTTGATTTGAAATGTGTACACCTAAGTGTAGGCAGTCAAGTTGTAGTAATAATCTGGTTAAGTCTGGAGTCGAATCCACTGAGAACTATGATTATTGTTTTGAAATAAGTAGTGATAGAGACCAAGTAACTAGAAACCTTGAGAGTTTGAAGTTATGAGATTTTCTAGACAAAATGTAAGATAAATTATCAAATGTAACAACCACCTTTTAGTTCAAGGATTAGAACATGTAGTTAATCATCCAGTTTATTAGACTTGTGCTTTATAATTCAATTAACTCCCGTGTCAACAACAAGTTAATTGGAAGATAAAGATGGACTGTGGGAATTAAGCACATGGTTCCGATGCCTTTCTAGAAGTTTATAAGAATTGCTGTGTCGAGACTCAACCCGTCTACAAACAAGCAAGTGTTTCCACAAGGCATCCAACCATGACATTAATGTTCCATTCTTTATATAAAGCACAATAATGGTGACGATTGAAATGTTGTTATGAAAATCTAGTTGGGGTACTTGCCTTGAACCAACGGGTCTTTCTATGCAAGAGTCATCTGTGACATAGAAAGAACCCACAATTATATAATATACCTTAACTTTGCTAGATACATTCAATTATTCAATAAGTAAGTGAAATATAAAGCGTTAAAGCATAAAGAAAATTCATAAATATAACTTTCGGATAATTTATCCATATTCATCACCTCTTACTAAAGAGTGAATGAGGAATTACTCACTCTTCATAGCTTGGGTAAAGCTAGAAAAGTGAGTAATACTGATCTCTCCAAGTAGAGGAGTTACAAAGTGAAAAACACTAAACAAGCAGCCGATCTTCAACGAAGAATAAGTGAATCACATTTCATCATTCACGACTTTGATAAAGCTCTAGAAAAGTGGAAGCTCAAGCAATAGAAGTGCAAGAAATGAACCATGAAAGTAGAAGAAAGCTAGTCACTTTTGGAGGGTTACTTCCTCAGCCAAAAAATGGAGGGTTTCTTTGTCAACCAAAAGATGAACTATCTCCCTTGATACAAGCAAATATAGTTCTAAGACTAGCTATATGAGTGGGAGTCTAAGCCTCCATCAAGCTCTCTACAAGTCCCTTTGAAGCTCTCACAATAGGAGTATTTATAAACAAGGAGGAGGGAGCAAAGTAGTGTGGAGGAATAGTACAAGGCATTCAAAGTCCAAGCGAATGACCCAATGTCCGGAGAGAAAATCAACTACTCTGCAGCCTGTCTGTGGAAAACGTTTGAACGTGATCTGGCGTTTGAACGTTGTTTCTGTTTTTGCTTTGTCGGCGTTCGAATGTTTCTTCTGTCTTTCCTTTATGGGCGTTCGAATGCTAGATGAGGTCTGACCTTCTCACTCAAGTAGCCTATGGTCTTCTGTGAAAACCTATTTCCACACTCCATGCACATCTTGGCGTTTTGCACTCATCATCCTGGTCCTCAATCATTTCAAGTGGACGTTCGAATGTGAGTTGGCGTTCAAATGTGGTACTCAAGTACCTTAGGGTCTTCCTTCTTGGCTGCAACACACCATGTTTCAGTAGTCTGGTCTTCACATGATTTAATGTAACGTTTGAACGTTGATTGGAGTTCAAACGTTCTTGGCTTGGCCTAAGCTGTTCCAATTTTACTGCAGAATAGGTTGGTGTTGCATGGGAGTCTGATATTCATTGTCTTTGGTCCCTTGTGCAATTTATGACCTGAAATTTCATCATTTAAGCTCTATCAAAGTATAATTAGTCCCAAAGGGGCATAGAAATATGCTAATTTTGACTACTAATTAGTGCACATGCACCCACACATATAACGTCTTTATCTTCATGTCTCCTACCCCTGTTTTTCATACTTACACAGACAACATGCACACACACACATCCAAGCTTCAACCACATAGCAAAAAAGCTTCGAGACACATTGAATTACACTTGAGGCACTTTAGGTGATGTCCACATACTGTTTTCTTTTCTATGTTTAGGACCCTTCTGTAGAGAACCCACTTACTTTTAAATGGTACAATGCTCAAGAAGAGATTCACCAAGTTTTTGGTTTATTCCTCTAACTTTAGTGAAGCAAGATGATCTAGCTAACTGGGAACGTTAGTTGGTTGTGATTGTGAATTAAGATGTGGTGTTATGTTTTTTGAGATTATCGTTTTCTTTGACTACTTGGGAATGTTGTGCTAAGAAAGTCACTTGGGATTGTGGAATGTGGTTTTTTATTATTATAACATTTTCATATATTAATTGAGATAGTTTTGAATCTATAGTTTACCTTTCATGTAAATTAGGTTGATAATAGTTATTATATGGGTTAAATAGATTAAATGTATATGCTTGGATTACTTGGGGGTTGCTCAATGGAGTTTGCACTTATTTGCACTAAGTTTTTCTTTTAATTTGACAACCAAATTTGATTATATCAATTCAGTTTGATTTTAGTTTGGAGTTATTTTTTTTTATTACTTTTATGTTTTGTAGATTAAATCAATTCAGTTTGATTTTTAATAATTTGGGATTGTTCAATTTTGTAGCCACATGAAATTGGATACCAAAAATTGTGCGAAGAGTAATGTTGGCTGCAAGAATTTACAATTCTTGCCCCCACTACATTTGTTGAAAGCCCTCTCACTTCTCTCAAGGTTATATGCTTCTCTCCGTTGGTTTATTTATAAATCACCTATTTTTTAGAAAAAAAAAAAAATTATCCCTTTAAGATACTTGATTTTTTTGTTCATTTAGCTTTTGTTATTGGCATGTGGAAGAAATTAGCCATTTAAAACTAAGTTAACAAGTTCATTACTTGGATTATGACCAGGTGTGAACTACAATGATGACAAAGTTGTATTGCTGGAAAAAAATAACAATGATAGAGTTGTATTGTGTGGGCAGGTGTGTATGAAATAAATCTATTTTCCACTTTCTTTCTCTTGAGATGAGTATTTGTAGGTGAAAGTTACTTTTGAAATGGATTATCATTTTTGGTAATTGACAATTTTTTGTGTTTCACAGACGCACACACGAATAAACCAAAATCATATAGTCTATGTTGTTCAGCTGTAGGCATAAGGTGTTTGACAAAATGTCAATGAGAAATGTAAATTTTGGTTCAATTTTACTGCGAACCAAACTTTATTGTGAATTAGTTATCTCGAAACATCTCCATCATTATTATTTTGACTATTGTGAATTTTAGTAACAAGAAAAAATAGGGTATTTAAAAAAGTCTCTTTCTCTCTTCTCTTTTGCATGGTGACATTTAGGTGAGATTTTCACTAAAATAATTTTTTCGTTATTCAAAACTTTGTGATGGGTTTCCTTTTATGGAAGTTAAGACTAGATATTTGTTGTTTTGCTTCAATGAGTTGAAATTTTACTCATTTCTTTTTTCAGAGAACGTCTATAAAGAGAAGGCTGAGTGATTCAACACTTTTGTCCATGATACAATCTCGAAAAACACTATAAAGTTTTGTTTGTATGTGTGGGTATATGTATACATTGGTCTTTTGTGATTATTACTTTTCATGGTAAAATGGAGAAAAGTTTAGGATTTGCCACTCCTACTCTTCTTTTCTAGTTGCATCTACTTTGTCTTAGTTTGTTTATAATTTTATTTGTTCACTGTGATTTTTTTTATTAAAATGCTGAATCAGTGAGATGGATCTACTAGATCTCATGTTTTATTTTGTGGGTTTGGCTTAATTCTACTTCATCTTTGTCACACACTCACACACACAAATCACCATACACATACACATGCGCAACATGCATGCATACATGCACAAGCACACTCAGACACACAACACACCGTACACATACACAAGCAAAAAACGCAGCACACACACGCATGCATACATGCACAAACACGCAGAACACACACGTAGGCATATTTAAATTGAAATTGATTTTGGATATATTTAAAATTGGGTTGTAGTAACTTTGAGGAAAAATTGATAATTTGCTGAACTTTTGGTGTTAAATATGATATATTGAGTTAAATTTGATATTATGTTGATTTAATTGGTTGAATTTTCAATAGTTTTATATTAATTGGTGGAATGGATTTTTTTGGTGCTTGAAATTGAAATAGAGAGTTCATTGGAGTTGCTCGATGCTGGTAATGGGTTATGATGGTTTAGGTCCGGTTCTATTGACAAGTAATTGTGTTTATTCTATATTTTAAGGACGTTAAATGAAGATAAACAAGTCATCTCATACCTAAAAAAATGGATTGGGATTAAATGCCGCAGAAGGCATACTAGGAGTTCCAAACCCTAATGAAGATGTGCTCCATTGATCCTTGGTTGTAAAATTGAAAATCTAAAAGGGTTACATTGAAAATCTAAAGTGTTATATTTTCGAAACACAAAAGGTTGCTCCACCACTGACCTGGATCGTGGAAACCAAGAGAAAGGGAAAAAAGTATTAGGTTTCATTTCCTCCATTTCATCTAAGTGAGATTCCAACGGTCTCATGATTTTAAAGCTATATATACAGCTAGTCTTTCCATGTACAATCATTCTTCAACCAAGTTTGCCTTCTTCTATGTACCACAAGCAATCTAATTTTTCCGAAAGAAAAAAAAGCCATGTATACGTTTAACAACTTCTCCAATGTTACCTTCAACACCAGTTCCTGCAAATATAACGTCAATTTTGCCAGAAAAACAAAAGAGACAACAGTCACTGACAAAGCCGCCATTACCACTGAATGGGTACGTGAGATATACTCCTTATATGCTGGAAAGCCCATGGTTGTGGGCTTGGACATTGAATGGAGACCTAACCTATTTCGTTCAATGACTAACAAAACAGCAACTCTTCAACTTTGCATCCAAGATAAGTGATTAATCCTTCAGCTATTTTACATGGATGAAATCCCACAATCCCTTAAGAGCATTCTTGCAGACTCAAACTTCACTTTTGCTGGAGTTGAGGTTGCAAATGACATATCTAAGCTCAAGAACGAGTATGGGCTGGAGTGCTGCAATAGTGTAGACATTCGGGAGCTAGCGAAGAACCGGTGGCCCGGACGGTTTCGTCGGCCGGGCTGAAGGATCTTGCTTGGGAAGTGAGTGGTCTCAACATGAAGAAGCCTAAGCATGTTTGCATGAGTAACTGGGAGGCAAGGGTGCTTAGCCACAGCCAAGTTGAATATGCATATGTGTTGATGCTTGTGCTTCTTTTATCACAAGCTGCTTATCGAAAACTAGCAATGCTCCAAGTGTGTTGTACGTGACCAATATTGTTAAAAAATTTGATAATAATTATATAAAAAATTCTAAATATATTTTTAATAAAATTAAGTATTACTTTATTTTCTACAACCTTATATTGAATTACATTGATGAAGTTACTTATTTATGTTATGTTTAAAAAATGATATTGTTTAAATTTAAAAGGAGAAAATATTAAAGGGTTGGACTTATTAATGATTGAGGGGATGTTGTTACCTTTACATATGATACTTTTGTTGTTCCACACTAGTATCTAGAGCATTGATATTCAATTGGGTACCTCTACCACAACACCAAAAAATATTCTTACTAAAGGGCACCACTCTCCAACATAAGAGATAAACCCCATTTTTGAGTGGGTAAAGATTTACCCTCAATATATTTGATTTGACCAAAACAAAGTCTCTCAAAAGAGTGTTCATAAAGATTTTTTGGTCAACGAATATCTAGTTTGTGCAATATTCAGCTATTAAACAAGAATTGCGTGATAACTAAACCTTCAAGTACCCATTAAAGTGCCTCAAGACAAGCCCCACCCTAAAAGAAATGCAAACTGAGAGCAAGTATGGATGGGAATTAAATTTGTTCCAGCAAGGCCGGATAGATTGCTTTAGACTTCCATATAAAAGAGATAACAACTTAGGTTTAATCTTAGGAAAGTACATAGCTCAAATCGATCCAAAGTATGAATTAGAAAGTAGAAACATTTCTAGGCACATCATTTGCAAGAAGAAAACTTAAACTTTCAGTTCTAGAATCTAAGCAAGTATGCAGAACAACAAATAAAAATATACCGTCACTTTTATTGCTACTTTCTCCGGTGACCTATTGTGCTTTACATGGCTTTCGTCACACAGTGGGAAAGTCCCCCATCTCCAAAACCTACACCAAAAGTTCACTGCAAAGGGTTAAATCATCTTGTATGCCTAATGGATTGAAGTTATTATTTGTTGTATTCTTCCTCGGAAAAGTCATCAAGACATTACATCTCTAATCTTGAGCCGCCCAAAAAAAAAAAAACATAGTATGTGAGGTTTCATTCTTCAAAAAACTGTGGTGGTGATTGTTTATACTCATTAATAGAACTGAAGAGCCAAAAAAATAAAATGAAAAAGCATGTCAAATAGATGCAAACGGTAACTTATACATTGAAAGTAAATAGTATATTTATTTTTAGAATTCATAAGGTCTATTTTCACTTGAGTGAGTTATTAATCGGTAGCTATTGATTATGAACAAAATTTAAGAGAGTTAATAGACTCCAATGCGTCAGCTGAAGATAACCAAAAACGTTTTATCAACACGTTAAAAGAGAGAGTAAAAGAGTTAAATTGATAGGTTGCTGATACCAAGAGTCATTATAGTATAGATTTTAAATCTCTTATTAAAACTAAACATGTTAATTTTGGTATTAGTTGCATTATAAAGATTATTATAATCAACTAAAAGTTTTTCTCTATTGTTGACATTCTATAGTAGTATAGATTAAGAGATGTTTTTAAATACTTCAGCCATCGGATGTATTGAAGTGTTGGTTTATTCGTGTTCTATATGGTACCAAACAGGGCGGAGCAAAAAAATCGTGTCAGGGTGGGTACGAATATTTTAATAAACTAAATTTTTTTCTTACAATCTATAAAAATAGGGTAATAATTTATATTTAATTACATCCTATTTAATACTTAAATATTCATTAAATTCAATAGACAAAAATTGGTAAGCTTAGTATATACAAACAACAACAATAAAAAAAGACTAATTATATCCTTTTACAAAACATAGATTAATTAAAATTATTTAAAATTAACTCTGGTAAATTTTCGTACTTTGAAATCATTACATAACAATTTTATTATTCTTTATATACACAATCATGTTATCATTCCGATATTTATCACTCATTTAATTATGCAATTCAATGCGCATTCTATAATATCTATCGTAATTAGCAAAACAAATATCAAAATCACTAGTAAACTACTCCCTCCGTTCC